GAGGGTGCCCAGGCCAGCCAGGCCCTGCTGCTCTTCATGGGCATCACCTACCTGGTGTCGCCTTTCGGCGGCTGGTTGGCTGATGCCCTCCTGGGCAAGTTTGGCACCATCCTGCTCAGCATGGCGCTCTACCTCCTGGGCATGCTGGCCTTCCCCGTCATCGCCGCACCGCACACCCGCCAGGGCCTCTGCGGGGACATCCCCTTGTTCCCTGTAGAGAACTGCTCCTCTCCAGCGGCCAACACCACCATGGCGCCTTGCTCCCAGGTGGGAGCCACCCGCTACTGTGCCACCGCCACCTTCATCGGACTGGTCCTCGTGGGGCTGGGCGTCGGGTCGGTCAAGGCTAACATCACCCCTTTTGGAGCAGACCAGGTCAAGTATTATTTGGCAGCTGCTGAATCGTTTGTGGGTGCCGATCTGAACCAGGGGATGGCTGTCAGTCATGCTGAGGGGTTTGCTTTGGTGGGATGGACAGTGCGCCGACTGATTCACATCTCTGTACGTGTTAAGTCTCAGAGCAAATCAGATCATCCAGCTTTGTTCCCTGCGTAGTGCAGGCTGTTAAGTTGTACCCTGTTTGATGTAATTTTGGTGTCTGTGTGGTGTCTGATCTCTTACAACCCTTGGTTTCCTTGTAGTCCTGCCTCGTACCTGATTTGGCTAAGCCATCACCATCTTGAGGAGCTGGGTTGAATACTTAATGGCCACTAAGTGGATTGTTAATTATCCTCCATTGTGGAGTTTGTACACAGTTAATTTGACCTCAGCTCATCAGGTGAAATACCTGATACACATTTTAGCTTTGACAAAGATAGCATGGTCCATCTAGTACAGTGGTCAGAGGTGTTTATAATCCTGTGATAAATGAAAGATAGAGAACAAATAGTTTTTTATGCTTTAGGTATTCCCTGTGTTCTGTACTGTGCCCTTGAGTGATATTTTTGTGCAGGCCAATGTTGTGTTGGATGATGGGTAGGAAGGTGCTCTCAACATGGTAAACATATTACCTGGGCTGTTCTCATAAGGACATGTCCTGTCAAACGACCTTACTCAGATCCACTTCAGTGATATCATTCATTGGATCATCACTGCAGAACCAAGTGGCTTTACAGAAGATATTTGAGAGATAGCTTATAGTTCAATATCAACTGGAATGCACTGTTTCATGTATTATTGTACAATCTTGCCCTCAGGTAGTATGCTGACTGTGGGTGTTGAACTGGAGTATAATTTCCGCTTTAAATATTGAGAATTTCAGATGATTAGATACTGAGCAGCTTTTCTAACCAAACCATTCTTAATGACAAAGCAAGTAAAATACCCCTGATCCAGTTGCATGTCTGTTTACTGGCCCATTGAGTTCTGGTTAGCACAGGTATCAGAAATGCCATGAAATTTTTTGTGAGAGGTAGGATCTACCACAACATCTTTGCCAAACATACCTCTGTTGTGCAGTTTACATTTGTCACTCTTTGGCATTTCATGTATTATAAATTCTGGAGTTCTGGGTGAAAGGCAGTATATAAGTGTAAAACATTATTATAGCCTAGGTTTGTGTGTCCCCAGTGTATTGGTTCTGTTTAAACCAGCATGAGCCCATCAGGTGAAATAGCTTTAATATGACTTTATCTTGTAAGGTGTTTTTCAAAAGTGACTGCTTATCCCCAGAACACTTTATGAATGTTAAATGTAAGAGATAAATAATGGCAGGAACAGAGCAAAAGAATAACCATTGTCGATGGAAGTGTAGCTGTTGTAGCTGGATTTTTTAAAGGCTTTCCCCCCAGGATTTCACGGAAAGCAGTTTTTGGCGGGGCTTACAGATAATTCACAGTGATTTATGTAGGGTGAAGCAAAAGAAATACTCCTTTCTGGTTCATAATAATCAGTAGAGCTCTGTTGAGGACTGATTTTTTCCCTTTCTCTGTTTTTCTGGCTTATCTATTGTTAAATATATTACAGCATACCACTTACCTTGTTGTGCAGTTTTGGGCCCTCATGGGTGCCTTCTCCCTGCGTAGGAATGTAGCAAACTGCTGGGTAGGTGGATATATATTGCTGAGAATAAAGTCTGTCTCCCAGAGTCACATTCTTGGGAGGCCAGAATACAATGCAAACATGTTTTGGCTGAATGTGTGCTGGTAAGATTTGTCCTCTTTC